TTTTTTTTTTTTTTTTTTTTTTTTTGCTTCTTTTTATGAAAAAGCAAAAATTTTGTTCTTGTATCCCACAGTGCAGTCATGTTTTTAACTTCCCCTCACTGAAAAGATTGCCAAATGAAAAACTGCATGTTTCCTTTGTTGGCATGCAAAAAGAGGAATTGTGACCTAAAGTTTGTCCTTAGCTTATAAAACCCAAAAATGAACTTTGGACAAGGAAATACAATCTCTACTTTGCACTTATATTTTTAGCTATTTCGGATCACATATCTACTTTACAAAGTATTTTGGTCTGATGTCAGAAATGCAAAGCACATACACTGTATCTTTTTAGCTCCATTTTTTCACCATGAGTGAATAAACCTGTAGATGGCACTAATGCCTTTGGGGAGACACAAACATGTTTAAGTTTAACACTGTCTTTTTAATTTATCATTATAGTTACGTTATACAGTGCCTATGAAAAGTATTAAGCCTCCTGGAGGTTTGACCCTTTCCAGTGCTTTTAGTAATTAATAACAATCAACAAAATTTAACTTTTTTGACAAACGAAATTAAAATAACACCTAAAAGATCAAATTAAACACTAATTTAAACAGAAATAATAAAAATGAAATATTTTTTTTTAACATGGAATAAACGACTGAATAAATATTCACCTTCTTTGAAGTGACTGACTGAAATCAACAGAGGTCCAGCCAGTCGGTGCTGGTAGTCTCACATTGACTGGAATGGAGATCACCTGAGTCCAGGAAGTGTGTTTCAAGTGATTGTAGTTTAAAGACACCTGGGCTTGGATGGTTCATTCACTGGTTCATTCCCAGCTGCCATTACAACATGAAGACAAAAGGACACTCAATGCAAATCAGAGAACCTTTTTAATCAGAAAAGGTTAGTGAAAAGCATAAGTCAGGGGATGGATACAAAAAATTCTTATCGCTTAAGGGAGACTCCGTGCTCAGGTGGAAGGAAGTTCTTTGGTCTGATGGGACCAAAATGGAGCTTTTTGACCATCAGACAAAAGGCTATGTTTGGCACACACCAAACACTACACATCACCTCAAACACACCATCCCCACAGTGAACCATGGTGGTGGCAGCATCAGGCTATGGGAATGCTTCTTGACAGAAGGCCCTAGAGGGCTTGTAAAAGTTAAAGGTAAAATGAACGTAACCAAATATAGGAAAATCCTGGAGGACAATTAGATTCAATCTGCCAGAGAACTACAGAAACAGCAAACATTTATTTTCCAGCAAGCCAATGACCTGAAGAATCCAGGCTAAAGCTACACAGAACACACAAAAAAACAACATTTTGCCCTAAAATAAATATTTATATAAAAAAAAACCTTTACATTTTACAACTGCTTAATCTCATTACCTCAGTGATCTTTTAACTCTATAGCTATATTTAGATCACTGAGACCTGCTGAACACAAATTGTTTGTTCTTCCCAAGTCCAGGTTAAAATGTAGAAGAATTATTTTCTGTTTTTTATTCATGCAGCAAAACAAAGCTAAGTACATTTAAGCTCTATCAACCACACCTACACAGTAAAGAAGATCCCTGCAGGTTAGGATCAGCTGCTGAAGAATAAACCATGATTCTTTTACTTTTTCTACTAATTTTATAAACATAAGGTTTAACACATGACTTAAAAATGAAAATGTAGTCACATACATCATATAAAATAAGTCTTACAATCCTACATCCTGAACACATGACAAACAACCATGCACATACTCAATTTATTAACATGTATGATTTTGGTCTTTTAATGAAATGTTGGTAAAATGTTAAATATGCATCTAAATTCTTTACTTACTAAGATATTTTTGACTATAGCAATGGAAAATGACAGCAAGTTAAGGGGGGTGAGAAACATGAAATCACACAAAGCCAAAAGATGAGGGACACATACAGGGCATTTTCTCATGAAAAGAAGGGAAAAGAAAAAGGAATATATGGTATTTACTTAAAATACGAAGCAGAATGTAGTGCATATATGACAAATTCAGGACAAAGACATATAAGATATAGACTACATTTATTTGCATTATAAAGCTACGACTTGGTCTTAATTTATCATTTCTGTCAATTGCACCTACTGAACCAAAGACTATACTTGTCACCTTATATCACAATCAGGGCTTGTGACTGCATGACAGTAAATATTATCTAGCATGGGCGTTCAGCTTGGCAGCCTCCCCATGTGTGCCTCAGGTGATCAGACTGGTTTGACTAGAAGTGATGATTCCACGCACACAGGGTGAGACACAACAAAATCACTTCTGAGACCAGAGATTTAAATAAGATAAAGGAAAAGAAGAGAGGGAGAAGGGATGTCAGCATCAACAACATGGAGAGAACCAGAAAAACTCCAGTCAACTTGCAGGAACCTTTTAGGTCACTCAGAATGTTGTAGTTTGGAGGTTAAATTACAAATAATTAAATTTTAAAATACTAAGCTTGTCTTGAGAAAGATGACTGAACAATTAAGACAAGCTGAAGGCCTCTATTAAAGCAATGAGACTACTGATGGAAATGAGCAATTACTGAATCTGGTGTATTGATGGGAATATTGTACATTCATTAATATGAATTGTCCTATTGAAATAAAATCAGTTCAATATAATTCAACCTGAGCCATCAATAGTGCTGCAGGTATGACCTCCATGCGACACATCATTGATGGAGTAATTCATAAAGAGCCCAAAGTGCGTTTTGAGAGCATATGCTGTTCAACACTTGGAGGTAATTTTATACAATGATATAAAATGATATTACTGTATTAAAAATAATTTCTTTATTGCACTTATGTTTTGTTTAGAATCTCTGAAAAACATAAATTTGAGTTTTATTTACTGTAAGAAATAATAAAAACTAACGCAGTCAAAATACTCTAACGTATGTTTGTCACTGAATACATCACTTTTTGTGTCTTTATATTGAAATTCTGAAATACTTTTTTTCAGATTAAGTTTTATTCAGGGTAGTATTTTGTATATTTTTGCTTAATGCAAATTCTCTACACACGTATAAACTTTAACAATATTCAAAAGCGACCTTATGGCGCAGCTTAGAGTATGTTCCTCATTTACCTGCACTTTGCCTTCTCTATCAGTGTTGAACATCAAAAGGCTTCATGGATGAGCCTTTGTGCTGTACCTACTTCCTTAACAGGAAGTAGCCATCCAATGGTATTCCAGTATTCTTCATGAGATCCCGCCCTCACCTTTGTAATCCAGCCAATAGGCGAGGCCTCTCTCTTCGTTCAGAGGCAGAGCCACACAGGTAACTCGAAAAAAAATAGGAGTGGAGGAAAAAAAACCTTCAGGGCTTGTTATGGAGTTCGTGTGAAGGAAACACGGATTTCCACCCTTCTTTACCAGTTAAACCAGTATCTCTGGATAGTACACGCTCAAGTACAGCAACAGGTAGAGTCTCTCACCGCAAACTCTTCCGTGGCTCCTCTGAAAGTAATCTCCCCACTCTTCTTTCTTTCTGCGTTTATCTCAATTGACTTTCCAGCCCTTTTGTTCGCTCTCCTTATCACTTGGAAAAGGTGAACCCTCGTGTTATTTTTTATTTTAATCTTTGCTCTAATTGTAGTTTTTACCCTTGTGGTCCCTGATGGCTTCGCACAGTGATACTCTGGTGGTGTTCTTTGGGGCAACAGCTGGTGCAAATGGGGGTAAACTGGGTTCGGATGAGAGGGAAATAATTCTCTTGGTGTGGCAAATTGTGGATCTACATGAGAAAAAGGTACGGACCTTTCTGACCCCCCCC